CACATGTTGCCAAGCAATTCCACACTTATTGTTTCTGACAGACATACCAGAGCTTCTGACTCACTTCTATGAGAAGCCAAATTATGATTGTTCATCCTCACTGTGACAACAGCAGATTTTTATATGTTCTGTAGCTAGCAGTTCTGTCTTTAGGACTGCCTCAAATGCAAGCGTTTATGTCTTGCAGAATTAACAGAACAGACAGATATGGACTATTTCTCTTATGCAATACAAGAACACACAATGCTTCAATGTGTAACAGCAGAGCAAATTCAGTTAAAATAATTTTTTTAAAAAGTAAATAACTAAGGAGAATATTATGTTTCATTTTAAAGTTATAACCAGACTTTGCAAGACCCAGACGGATTTTAATGTTAATATATGGCAGACGGCCATGCACCTTTTATGGTGCATTCATCTGCTAACAGAAGTACTGTGACTAAATTCTATTGTACAGTAATTTCCTCAGTTATAAACATCCAGCTTGCACATTTATTGAAAGTTAAAAATCAGTCAGGAGACAACAGAATTAGTGATGCTTAATAGTCAACATGTGCAGAAGTCCTTGAAGGACTCAGGCATTAGTTGTTAGTAAAGCCAGGTGATACCAAGCAAACTTGTAGCAAGTATTTCTAACTAGCTACTTCACACTGAAAAAACAATCACAAGAGAACTCATCTGAATACAGCCATGTCTCAGCCTTTTACTGAGAGATGACAGATAAAAGAATAATTCTCAGCTTGGAAGAACTGTTTTATAGTTGGGAAAAAAAAAAAAAAGATAGGTTTGGCCAACATTTTAAAAAAAGTTAATTTAAAACTGACATTTGAACTCTACAGAGTTAACAAGGTTTAGTCCAGAAAATCATACTTCATAGGATCACCAGCAAAACAAGCAAACAAAACCCCCCAATCCCCCACCAATAACTCATACTTGAAAGCACCTACTTCAAATGTCAGGATAGGGCTCAGCGATAGAGCTTGTGATCCACCGTTAGATTTTGGTTTCTCTCTCTCTGAGCCACTAGCAATTAAGAAAACAGTTTTCCAGCCAGCTACATATGCATTTCATCACCATTTAATCTCAACCTGCATTTTCCTTAGCTTGCTTATAAACCTCATAAAAGAACATGCCAAAAGCTGGGCTTTTGAGAGATGACACGATAGATGCAACATGATAGATGGCACCAAGATGGATGATTATCTTCTATTCACAAGGTCTGTTACCCTGTCAAAGAAGGAAATTAGGATGGCCTGACGTGGTTTTTCTTGACTAAATCAGCAGTAACCACTACTCATCACTTCATTGCCTTCTAGACTCTTATGAACAGTTTGGTTATTGAGTTCTCAGGGAAATGCTGTAATTTAAGCAAAGAAGTCTGCAAGCAGATCCTCTCTCTGCCCCTACTGATGATTGACAATTGATGCGTTTGTTTTTTCCTTGTCCTTCCGAAACACCACACGTTCACCATGGCCTCTCAAAAATAATTACTAACAGTTCCCAGACTGCTTCACAGAGTACTAAGTATCAAGAGTGCTGAAAACCCTATTTACTGAGGTCATACGAGGAGAACTACAGAGCCACTAAGTCATAAACAAAACAACTTTTAATGCAAAATAGCATGGAAATTAAAGTTATCAGAAGACCGAGACCTACAAGGTATTTCACAGTCCAGGGACTGAAGCACTGTCCACCAAACAAAAAAGTCTTCCAAGGAAACACAACAGCAGTCCATGAACATCCCATAGATCAAAGTCCCCTGCAATCATTGCAACTCTTAACAAAAATCACACTGACTACATGAAAAGTGATAAAGCACTGCATGCTATTCATAATGAAGTAACTTATATTTTACTTTGGCTATTAGCATATTCTTCTTCATTCACTGAAGTGATGTATGTATCAAATACTGACTGCCAATGCTTGATGTGAACTAATGGTGCAAGTTGTATTAACACAGCTCTAAAAAAAGATACTAGTTATTACAGACTCACTACATATGGCTCCATCAGTGAAACTGAGTCCAGGTTTTTCTTGAGAGTACAAACACCAAATGCTGAAAAATTCATGTTGTAAAATTTTATCTTTGTTTACTTTACAGAGGTTAGAAGATAAAGGCCACCATGCCCATCTAACTTGTTATAGTTTTACATAGTGTTCAAAAGCATGTACAAGACATGTGCAAAACAGTGTGTGGGGAGAGTGTGTGTATGTAGGAGTGAAGTATGTGCGAATACATATACCCTTCCATACTGTAATAATACACAATTTAAGTGAAACTAAGGAAACTAAAGTGGTAGCTGTCATGGCTCTTGCATACCAGAAGCAGGAATTGTGCAGAAGACATGGCTGTTTTGGTCAAAGGAAACAACAAAACAAAAATTGACATAATTGAGATGCCAAATTATAATTGAGATGCCAAATTATATTTTTCCTCCTTATTGTAAAGGATGTTTAAATGATACCTGACGCAGACCTTGGTTTTATTCCTGGTAATGCATATAGAACACAACCACAGGCTGAAAGCCTGAAGAAAAAGATGTCACAAGAAAACTTTTCTATTATAAGTAATTACAGTTACTAAAGACTAGAAGTAGTAAATACATTGCTAATACTTAAAAACATAATGAAGCTATAGGTGGGAATACAAAAAGTTTCATAGCAACTAAAAGCTTTTAGACCTGTACCTAGCAAGTTAGCTCTGGTAACAACAATTAGAATAAAATAGCTGGAAGACTCTAAGATCTAGCCACCATCAAGGTTTCTCCAAAGGAAGAGTTGCATTTTGCTAACCTTTGGATCAAGTGTTAGGCAGTGATAAAGATAGTAGAGTAGATAAGGAAGGGAAGGTTTACTACCTTGATATGCAAAAGGCTTTCATTAAGGTCCCTGGGAGTCTACTAAAAAGCTAAATAATCATTAGGGGAGGAAAAAAAACCCAATCAAACACCAAGAACTGGTTGCTAATATCAAATAGGAAGCTTGAACAATCACTCATCATCACAACAAAAGATCAGAAGCAAAACGCCCTCCGGTTCAGGCTAAGTTTTATGACTAACTTGCCCCTTTCAAAATTTTTGAAGAGTAAAGTATTAAAAGCTTCAGATGACAAGGAAATGCTAAAAGATCCTCTGAATAATTTAAATAAAGGAACACAATAGGGATGTTCAGTCAAATTTTGATGAGAGAGGATAAAACTTACAGCACATTTTGCATGACCCTAACAAGCCACATTGATTCACTAAGAGGAGTATACAACTCCTCCTTGCTCAAGATGCATTGTTTTAAAAGAAAATCAATACAATTTTAGGACACAACCTGCAATATTTGTGTGTACTCCAAAAATGTAACGTTTTCCTCAAAAGTGCATCATCTTTTAGAATACAGTGGAATTCTGGTTATCCAAGAAAAGGGGACATAATTCATCAGAATACAGATAAGGGCTACAGGACTGATTAAGCAAAAGGAGAAACCTCATATAACGAAACATTAAAAGAGGATTATTTCCATTATCATATGAATGCAATGTAATCAAATACATCAGATGATCAAAACAAGGCCTGTCACCTGAACTGCTGTGCCCTACAGGCATTCTTGTTCACCTAAAGTCTGAGATAAAGCACCTTTGTTCGAACTTCAAAATCTTACAGATCAGAAATAGATCTAAAGGAAGGCCAAAGGCAGTAGAAATAAACTTTTAACTTTCTCACTTCAGAATTCTTCCACCTTCGCATGAAAACACCTGGCATCTGGATACTGCTGGAAGAACGAATATAGGAATATACTGATTTTGGTATGGAAAAAATATAGCAAATTCATAGCCTTCTAGGTCACTTAACAGCCTATATGCAATTTTCAAAACTTACTTATAAGCAAATGTCTCTGGGATGGAGGGAACAGAACTACAGTTCTATAGAGTTGGGAACTTCTGACAGTTTTGCTGCAAAACAAGCCCAAAAGCAGAGTGAAGATTTACTCTCTCAAATGCTCAAGAGTTTGGAGGAAGGAATGACTCGTAGTTTGCGGGGTTTTTTACTGGGGGAGGGGCAGAACAATATAATTTAAAATTCAGTATAAGGCAAAGCTCTGATGAATTTTTTCAGGTTTTCCACATCACTACTAGGTATACTGGTTCTGCATAATAAATAAAGTCTCACAAATATTTCTATAATGCTTTTAAATTACACTCTTATGATCCCTTGTGTGAATTCAGGTAAATAGTAAAACCAAGTATTTAACAACTGAGTAAAACCTGTGTAACAATCCAAGTTTTTTTATGTGAGAATCCAATTCTTACCCCAGATGTCAGTTAAGAATGTGACTTTTTCAGTCATTTTTCAGAGCAGGATTGCAACATAAATCTACTCACACATTCTTTTCCATCTTTGCTTTTCTTCCTTCAAACTTTGTCTAGATTTGGGATTACTCCTCCCCCTTCTCCCTCCAACTTCATCTAGATTATGTACCTTATTTTTCTCATTCCTTCTTCCAAAAACTCAAGAGGAACACGGGTAGTTTGTTTTTCCTAGTTAGTAGGTTTTGTTCACCAAAGGAATAATCTTATATTAGCAACACCTCAAGAGAGGGCTTTTTACATTTGGGTGTTGCATTAAAGTGAATCTTCTATTTTCTCCATGGCAAAAAAGTTGCTGATGTTCTTAAGCTAGAAGGATTAAATTTATTTATTTATGATGGAAGAATTAGTTTATTTGTAGTGATGTGTACATGTCCTGGCTAATTTGTCATAGACATGCCTATTAGCTTGTTCTGTCACATTCCTGATAGCATCAGTATAGCTGTAACACAACAGAAGGCTGGATGGCCTTGGTAATGAACGATAGCAGGAGACCGTATGAGAAGTCTAAGCATACAAAGCATTACCACAAGGACACAGCTAAGATAAGAAGAAAACTCAGTGTCTAAACTAGGACCTTCTGAAGAAAGTTTTATGGACTTGTTTTGACCAGATTGTGGTAACAGAAATCCCCAAATCTGCAGAAGAGAAGTGAAAGACCAGTGACTGACTTATACTAATTATTAAATAATTATTAATAATGGGAGTGCACACTGTAACCGATTTCTGCATAAGTACTGCAGACACCCTGTGTCGTGCTTGTGCTTGATTTGTGGAATGCCTCCAAGCACCAGGGGTTGCACAAGCCTGAATAAATAAACGGTATCTCTCCCATGTGTGTTAAATTGATTTATGGCACACCGGGCAATAATCCGCTTTTTTGGACAACATAACTGCCTTCAGACAAAAGACTCTTCTACTTGTTTGTCAGATCTACAGCAGAGTTGTATATCAAGATACACTGTACTCGGTTCAGACTGGGATTTCTGTCTGCATTGCAGAACATAGCGAATGAGGAATGAGCTTTAATTGACTTCCCTTCATCTACAGAGAAAAACCTACACACTGACCCTCTTAGCACTCTTAAACATGCACATGATCAATAAAGAGGACACTTTTCAAAATCTGAGCATTAATGAATTGGCCAATTAATGTAATTCATGTAAGTATTAATTGAAAGTGTGAACTGCAAGGATAATGGAAAAATAAACATAGAAATATTCACCTGACATTACCACAAACAAGAAACCAAAATTACGAACTCTTTCAAAACATACCATGAAATACACTGCTAAATATATACATAAAGCCCAGAATTATAATAACATATAAGCCCAAATTAAAAGAATTTGTAAATGCATGTCAGAATGTATAGTCTGCCATTATACCCACTGACCCTTTTATATTCCTTCTTTTTTCATGTCTTCACGTTTCATTGCCATCAATAGTGTTGTATCAAATCCTTAAGTAGTGAAGAAAGTTTAAAAATGCAGAGACAACACAAAAGCAACATACTTGGACAAAGTTTATATAAATACACTCCTTTCTAAATTCTCTTCAGTGTGAAAGTTTCACGTCAAATGGGCAAAATTTACTGCTCATGAATTTTTATTTCTGTTCCACTGCTAACACATGCATTCTACCAACACATACTTAGAAAAAAAAAAAAAAAAAAAAGCCAGCTGTATTATACCTGTTGTCATGGTATCTGTGGGGATGATGCTGTAAAACATCTTGCAGGAAACGCTCCATCAAGCTACTGGTACCCACACGATTCCTACAGTAAGTGGTAAAATGTCTGTGCTGGGAGCTGAAAACATGCTGGCGAAAGATAAAACATGACTAGTTTAATACCACTGTTAACACACTGGCCCGTTCCTAAAAATTACTTCCCAGGTTAAACATTACACCGTTGCTACAAAAATATTTAAATCAAAAGAAAAACCTTCAGCTGTTTCTACTTTAAGGCCTTGACACAATGAGATTTTTAAGCATGCTTAGGGAGTCTCAAATAATACTAAAATGTGTTGAAACACCTTTCCAAGTTGGAACCTAAATCAGCTCTGACAGCTAAGAGATTCATAAATCTCTTGTAACTAGTACAAATACTCTAAATGTATCTATAAATGACTATTAAAATATTGTTGAACTTCATATGAGTAAAACCCCTATATTTCATGTGAATTAAGGAGAATTTTCATAAGCATAGAAGAATAAATAGGCTTCTACTTTCTAATTAAAAAAGTCCAAAAGACAGGAGACGGACAGAGCCAGAGAGCAGAAAAGAAAATAGTTGCTCAAACCTCTTCAGCCTTGGTATCTAACATACTCACCCTAACACTTTACAATATATACAGATCTCAAGATTAAAGCCACAGAAATAAACCTAATGGATGCAACGCACAGCAGTGTGCCACTTCAGAAAAGCAGACTGCAGTAGCCATGCCACTCCACCAGCATCTTTTTAACAGTTAACAGTTATCTTCTTCTCAGTGCATACATTGTGCAATTCACATTATTTTTCACTCCAAACAATTTTATTGGTTGTTCAGTTGTAGAGACTGATATTTTAGAGCCTTTTGGTACCCCTTGCTATCTGTTGCTGAATTATGGAGAAGCCTTCTCACCTGTTCCAGATTACTGTAGTGTACATGGCAACAGTTGCAGTATCCTTGTCTATTTTGCACAGTGGATACTCCAGGACGAGAATGTTCTTGCCCTCTTGTGTGTAAACTGAAAGAAGCAGGTAATATGTTGTTTAATTCATGTTCTTAATATGGAAATTCTAAATATCTATCTCACTATACAGCTGGAACAAACTTGCAAGACAAACATTTCTATTTCAGAAATGTAATGGCAAGTAGGACTACATATTTTAAGGTATTCCCAAGCACATTTCACTAAAGAAAATTTTTCTTAAATGCAGAACAAAGGACAACAGGTTGAAGGCACAGCTAACACAAACACTAATTTCAGTCGGCTGAAATCTGAAAAAAACTGTCTCTACTAAAACACAGAATCACCTTTTCATTCTTCCGGTTTTTAGTATTTTGAAATAAAAAAAAACACAAAACAAAACACCAAAGACAAAGAAATTTTGACAACCACACCTTAGCTTTGGGCACTACAATGCACCTTCCCCACAGTTTTTAATAGTATGTAGGTACAAGACAAAAAAGACTTCCATCATAGACTTGATCTATATTGCATCACTGTCATCCACTACATAAGATAACAGATAAGGCTGAAAACCAGATTCTTCCTGTTTTAATTTGTGTAAGTAGTAAGCTAGATGCCAGTTAGATCATCGCCTAACTTACCTGCTATTGCTATCCTGTCGTACAGAGCCTTCAACAGCATGTTTTTCGATTCCTATAGAAAAAAAAAACCACAACAAAACAATATCAAAGAGATGGAGTTTTACCTGTAATTAGTTACTTCTTACAGTGCGTTTGTCAAAACTCCTATTTTGGAGGAGGATAAAAAGTTTAGTAAGTTCAAGAAAGCATGTAGAGAGAGATCCTTTTGTCCTCAAAGTTCCTCTAAGAGCTTCCAAAAATAAGCTTTACTCTTTCGTGGTTGAGGTGAGCGGGAATTTTTCTACTGATTTGTCTGGGATCAAGACTAGGCAATCTACATTTATACTGCTGCATTCACAATCACCGAGATAAGATGTCTTAAACAGCTTATTACGGACAAGAACACTACACCTGCATAGAAACTGTGTATGATTCAGAAGTCACTTCTTCCATCTAAGTTCCATAATGAAATTTAGGAAATCAAAGCCTGCAATTGAAACTACAAGGTTAACTAATGCTACTGTTAGTTATTACATTTAAAAAAAAGTAACTGCCACAAAAATATCTACTTAAAGCTTCTCACCTTGTGCTGAAGAAGCAGAAGCTTCATCAGATGGTTTGATTCTGTCAAACATCTGTGAGTAAAAAATGAAATAACTGAGAATAAAAACCAAAATCTCACAGTAAAGCCCATCCTCAAGTTCATCCTTCAGTCCAAGCTCTAAGCTGTTCAGAAGCACTGTATTGTTTCAGCTATAGACTGAGACTTGACTTAAATGAAGCTGCATTGTAAAAATAAATTCCTGTTTTACTAGGTTACCCTAATATTATATTTAACAATGCGTGTTAGCTTTGATAGAAGGGGCTAATTTCTGATCTAATTAACAAAGTCAAATACTAGACTTTGGGATACAGCTTAGACTCCGTTAGGTTATTAAGCAATAACCTTGTCAAATTCATTTAATTACTTCCTAAGTTGCCTTTACAATAAAGATGAAAGATGTAATAAAAGCCATACAAGACCCAGGCCACACAAAATAATTATCCAGGCTGGAAAAGTAATCCTCATTGCTCAAAAGATCTGCAAACCAACACTGAATGCCACAATTCTTAATTAAAATATGACTGCAGCAACATGCAGTTACATGCTTTCAGGTGCCCAAACACAGGGGGCTTACGAGTTTCACACAGTCCTTTTACATTATGGAATGCAAGGATAAAATCAGCTTTCTAGTACAAACCTTAGAGTCATCAACCTTCTTCATCCACAAAAGCTGACTCCAGACTAGGAAACAATAAATGTTGAGCAGGAGGCCATTTGCAGTGCGGGACACTTATCTTTTCTCAACCCACCTGGCAACAATGAAGATAAAGAGCATTTTAAAATAGAGTTAATAACATACGTTTTCCATGACATAAGGCAAGTAAATTTTTCTGTACCACTTTGCAAACACATCAGTCAATAAAACAGATAGATCTGTTCTTGAAGGCTGCAGGACATCCTTCTTTTTATTACAGAAGTTGTTTTGACAGTGACAGTCTTTCCCACACAAACGTTAACTATTCCTTCTGGAAAAACTTTGTTCCTTCTCTTTTCCTCACAGACCCTATGTATTAAATATTGTTGTCATTTTGGATGCTAGCACTCAGGAAATTAAGTATACTTCTACAAAAACAGAAGATAAATTCCTCAATATTAACTAAATTGAAATTACTCTATTTTGAGCATCATTCATAAACCTGATCAGAAAAACAATGTTTTATTTTGTTTATGTTACATAAACTAGTTAGATATTTCAATAAGACATTAACTGGAAATTTCCTAGGAGGTTGGATGTTCAAAGCGTTTTATAAGTTAATCGTTATATACTCAATGAAGTATCATCATTAGCATTACAGACAGGAAAACAGAAAGGCCACAATAATTTGTACAATCACTGTCACAGTGTCATGGTGAAAGTACCACATCCTGACTCAAAAGTCAGGACTTAGCAACTCTTAGCTCTGCTCTTGCCTACCATTTATGTAATTGTGGGATAACAAACTTTAAAAGTTTCAAATCAATCACTTATACTTTTTATCCTTTCTAAATTGTTTTTCCAAGAATCATTCCTTCCTTTCTCCTTTCCTGTTCTCATATATGTAAAGATGCTCCAGTATGGAGCTACATACCATCAGCCTTGACAGGTGTCATTTGCTGTTTGTTTTCTTTAAACTTGTTTTGCTCTTTCCCCAACTATGCACTGCTTATTATAAAATAGCAGGGCTGTTACAGCAGCTATGGCCACAAGGAATATCAAACAAACAAAAAAACACCCAACAAACCACCCAACCAAAACACCAGACTTTTTTCCTTCCTATAGTGTATCAATTCATGTAATAATATTAAAACAAACAAAAAAACCCAACCCAGCTGTTCTTATAAACCTTCTCACCAGGCAACGGAGAAAAGCTTTCTCGATAGATCAACTGATCTCAGTCACCCTGTTCAATGTCCTATACACAGCTGGGACTCAAAAGAAAGTGAAAGAAAAACCCACAAGACTACCTTTCACAAATGACACTTTACAGAAAATACCCTGTTCCACGTGCTTGAAGTCAACTTACCAGGTTTTTAAGATCTTACTATATATATATATTCTTAAAATAAGACTACAAACGCGGAGCATAGTAAGAGCGCAGCAACCACAGAGGAGAGTACCCCACTGACAGAGCAGTCAGACAGTCAGCAGGGGTCACCACAACCATTCATCGCCATCCACTGCCCCAAACCTGGATTAAAGCACCTCGGTATACAAATATCTAGTTTCATCTCAGAGATGCGAGGCAGTTGCAACTGCAATATGTTGGAGGACACCTACTACAACGGTTCATTACTTCCCTATTTCAAGGAACAATGTCAACGGTGGTGCACTACTGAGAGTTCACTCATCTGCAAGTACCATCCTGTAAGTTACACCGCTAGGTCGAGAAACAGACTCATGCACATTTAAATTGAGCTAAGAGTGTAACAACTTTAAACTGCACAGGACTACAGGGTAACTCAGTATAGTTATTTTCACTCTGGATCTCCTCATCATCTTTCTACAGTTCGAGGAGATTCAATGGACCAGATCACCTCACTGGAGGAGGGATGGGTTAGGTAAAACTTGTACAAGCCTGGCTACCACTTAGTAACTGACAGAAAAACATCAGAGAAAGATCTTTCAGAAATACTTACGTGCAAAACTGACAAAAGGGGAAAATCTACTCTCTTTATCTCAATGTTTTATAAGAACACTAGTGTACAGGACAAAGAAAAAAATCTGAACTCAAACTATGTACAGCTTGCTTACCATCTGAAGTCATGCTCAAACCACAGGCTTGTTAACATAAAGGAAATCTGCTATGTAGCTGCCTTATTTGTCTTTCCAAAATTTGGGCAGCCTAACTGCAATCCTTACTTCAGCAAACAGAAACTACAGCTATAAATCCATAAAGGATTTCTCAGATGTTTATGCAAAGCCTGCAAAATTCTAGCGTAGATATTTCCAACAGTAAGTATCTTAAACTGTTGGATTTAAAAGTAAATTATATCTGTACAAGCTTTAGCTTAAACATTTTACCACTGAAAAATCCTGTAAATCATAACAAACATAAAAACAACTGGCAACATACAGAGATGTTTGATTTGGTAAATTTCTAACCAGGCCACTTTAGCTGTCTCTAACACCAACGCTTCTTTTTGGTTTTATCAAATTACTTTTTGTACAGCAGCCAGAGGCTGAAAAGCCTCAGACAATCCCATTCAACAAGGGCAACCAAAAGCCATCAAATGGACACATAAAAAAATTCAGTGCTGCATTCTGACAGTATATAAAAGCGTCAAAGGCATCAAATAAACTCTCCAGGCAGTGTCACTCTTGCACTGCAACAGGTAGAATATAAATAAAAAGGGACAAAAAGGCCAATCAAAACTGCTCCTCCAAAAACACCTCATGAGAACCGCTACTGCCCCTCCACCTGAGAAAGTCTGTGCTGGGCAGACGGCGAGAAAACGAGGGGGAAAGTCTCCCTGTAACAAAGTTATCTGTCTTCCAACACCAGCACAAATAGGGAGGCGGTAACTTATTTCAGGAACGGCTTTTGTCCCATGGCCACACAGCACCAGCTCGGGCTGCGGGTACCGTCCGTACCGCGCCACGACCACGCCGAGCCGCCTG